TCTCTCCCCTTCCTGGACCTCTCTGTCTCCATATCGGGCAACCACCTGGAAACCGATATTCATTTCAAGCCCACCGACTCCCACAGCTACCTAGAATACTCCTCCTCCCACCCACCTTCCTGCAAAAATGCTAGCCCCTTTTCCCAATTCCTTCGCCTCTGCCGCATCTGCTCCCAGGATGAGGCATTCCACTCCCGTACATCTCAGTTGTCCTCATTTTTCAAGGACCGTAGCCTCCTTAACCTGTTCTTCCTCCCACCTATCCCCTCCTCCCACCTCAAGCCGCACCCCCATCTCCTACCGACTAACCTCATCCCGCCCCCTTGACCTGTCCATCCTCCCTGGACTGACCTATCCCCTCCCTAACTCCCCACCTACACTCACCTTCACTGGCCCCATCCCCGCCTCTTCGACCTGTTTGTTTCCTCTCCACCTATCCTCTCCTCTATCCATCTTCTATCCGCCTCCCACTCTCTCCCTATTTATTTCAGAACCCCCTTCCCCTCCCCCTTTTCTGATGAAGGGTCTAGGCCCGAAACGTCAGCCTTTCTGCTCCTATGATGCTGCTTGGCCTGCTGTGTTCATCCAGCCCTGCGCCTTGTTGTCTCGGATTCTCCAGCATCTGCAGTTCCTACTATCTCTGATTCAATCCTAGCCTGAAACCAGAGACTGTTTTTTTCTGCCCGGTGTCAAGGAGATTTCTCAGGTGTGGAGCAGAACCTGGAGTGGGAGGCAAGGATCCAGCTATCACAATCTATTGTGGCACCAAGATCACATGTGGGCTGAATAAAAAGGGTCTGCTGAAAGAGTGTTAGCAGCTAGGGAGTAAACAGTAAAAACATCAAAGAGAGATTATCCTGAAATTTGCAATAAGAAGAAAATATTAAGGGGAACAAAACAATATACATGTTTATTATGGTGCCCACACATATGTGTATATAAAAGTATAGCCCAAATTAATGCTCCCTATATATGTATATAATCTTCAGTAACAAATAACTTGGGCAAGTACAAGTCCCACTGCTCAATACTTCTGCTGTTTGAGGTGAGGCCAACAAAAATGTATCTTGCAGCTGTGAATGCCTGTACATGTATGGAACCCTCAGTGAAGTCCTTTATTCATGTACATTCCCACTTAATTGATACACATGATACACAAATAAGAATCAATAACAGGAACCTCCTGAGGGATTCTCCCAATTGTCCAATGTAATTTCAATGAAAGATCAGCAGAAAATCTGGATTGATCTATAATTTAGGCTTCTAATTCATTTTCTGGCAAAGTTACAGCAGATAATGAAAAGCACCCTGGAGGAAATTCCTGGTGACATTCCTCACTAATGACCAAAATAGAGCTTGAGGTAATATCTCTCAAGTTTTGTCCAACTCTTCATGAGATTACCCTGGCAATGTATATAGTTCTCAATTATGCCCCATCAATATCTATGCACTGAATATGCCTTTGCTACCTGCTCAGTTAAAAAGAAACAGGAAATGCATAACTTTCTCAACAAAAGAAATGTGTCAGTTGAAACCACGTAGAGCATGCCAAGGCAATGATACGCTTTATGATAAGAACTTCACCTTACTTTGTAAACCCAAACCTGGGGAAATGAATACTGTTTTTGACCAATATGGTGAAATTCTGTGCCATTTTCAATACAGAGTCCCTGCAAAAATAGAGAAAACATGCTTTTAGAACACAAATAGATGGAACCAATTGGAGATTCATATGCTTCCCTTATTAATTAGGCCAAGTGACTTATGAAAATAAAAAATTGCACGGGAAAAACAAATCTACTTTAGTTAACAGCTAACTTAGCACATGAAACCCTAGTATCAGTTTGGCATAGCGGCACAGTGACTCCTTTTAAACTCAAGACAACTTTCCAGGGTTTGGTGTTGATCCTGATATTCCATCATAACTAAAAAATTCATTACTACACTTTCATAATCTAACACATGAGATAGAGACCAACATTCTACAGGCCTACTTTTATTTTTGTGTGTGTGTGTTAGCTTTTAGTAAGTTATATACACGGAGATCTAAATCCCTTTACTCGTCCACAATTCCCATTTTCATGCCATATAGAAAACCTTTGGAATTATCCTTCTTGCTTTGAGAAAGGATAACCATGCAAGCTTCCATAATAAGTTCTTAAGTCAGTAGGCTATTGTTTTAAGTATTCACTTCGTTATTTAAACTGTCTTATGTAACTTTGTAGCTTCCTGTATCCACTTATGTAATTTGTTGTGTTTCCTAACTAAGTGCAATCTGCAACCTTGCACAGAACTGCTCCCCTTCTCATACATCCCAAGATTTCTGCTGCCTCCAAAAATATCAGAACTCCAGTGACTGCTTCACTGCCAGATGTCCTCTCTTAGATTAAAATTGCTTAAACTTCCTGCTGGGCACTGAGTTTGGAGGAGTTATTGGATAGGAAACTGAAAGTTAGTGCGGCTACAACAAGTGCAAAGATCAGTATAAAATACTTCTGCAGCTCAAAGAGGATCAATAAAAAAAGTACCATGTTGCTGAAGGAATCTGCTCATTACTCCACAAGATGTGTTTCTTTTAACCTCTTATTTTCAATTTAATACAGCATCATTCTATTCACTAAAACTTTCATGCCTTGCACCAGGCTTATTTTGGACTCAGCATTAACAGTGAGGCCAAGACTTAATTCCACATGGGGTATAATTGTCAAAGTTATTCCACTTCATCTGCCTGGTATTACAGCAGCCCAGTGCTGAGCAAATGTAGATTAAAATAACTAATATTGAGCTACTCCTATTTGTCCATTTAAACAGTGTGGCACCTCACCCATGACCAATAATAAGCAGAAACCAACAAACTTTTTATGCTACCTTATTGATAATCTGTTCTCCACTGGACACCAAGCATAAATCTCACAGGTCTTTATCGAATCATGATACGTTACACATCTCCCAGTTTTCACGCCTGCACAGGAAAACCATTGTTAACAATATCAATCATAGCCCACATTTCTAAATTAATCTCTTTCACTAAGATATTGGTTATTCAAACTCAGTTGCTAAAATAATGACAGTGGAGGAAATCAATTGTTTCAGGTGGGATAAAACAGTTCTGTTTCCTAACATGCTTTTCCTTTAAAGAGCTGACACCATTTTTGACAAATTGGAATAGGGATTCCTGGGAATATATCAATACTTTAAAAAGGACATTCCAGAGGTGGCATTATATGCAAGCAACATCCAAACAAAAAAACAAAAAAAAAAAAAAAAAAAAACAATCTAGGTCAATTTTGGTCAAGTACAACAAAAATGATATAGCATCTCTAACATACTAAAACACTAACATACTTCACATAAGTAGTATCGAATAAAACTTGACATTGAGCCACAAAAAGAAACATTAGGACAGTACTTTAGTTAAAGAGGACTTTTTGAGCCATGTCTTAAAAGGAGGAGAGACAGAGAGGCCAAGGGATTTAGTGAAGGAATCCCAGAGCTTATGGCCTTGGCAACTCAAAGCATAGCCAACAATAGTGGGGTAATTGAAATAGGAGATGCACAAAAAGCCAAAATTAGAAGAGCATAGAGAATCTTGGAGAGTTGTCACGATTGGGGAAGTGATAGAGATAGAGAAGGAGAAGGGTGAAATGGTGTCATTTGAACAAGGATAATCAATTTTAAAATTGAAGTGCTGCTGAACCAGGAGCCAATGCAGGTCAAAAGCATAGAGTGACAGACAAGCAAGGCTTGGTGAGAAAGCAGCTGAATTCTGGATTGGTTCCCGCTTACAAAGTGAGACCACACAGGTGAGATTTGGAATATAGTAATGCAGAGTTACCAAAGGAATAGATGAGAATGTTTCAGCAGCTGAAGCAGAGGTGGTAATGGGCAATGTTAGAGAAATGGTAGCATACAGAAATGGAACATCTAAGAATCAAAAATGGCATCAAAATTGCAAATGGTTTGATTTGGGGAAAAGTTGAAGTCAGTGGACATGGAAGAAAGTTTGTGGTGGGGACCAATGACAATAGCTTTGGTCTTCCTAATATTTAATTGGGGAAATTTCGACTCATCCAGTACTGGATATCAGACAAACAATGTGATCATTTAGCAACAGTGGAGGAGTCAGAGGTGGTAGCAATGTAGAACTGGGTGTTATCAACGCATCTGTTGGAAATGTTTTCAGGTAAGATCATCAGGGGGTATTGTAAATGGGAAATGAGATGGCATTGAAGATACATAGACATAATCATTTAGGAGCAGGAAGAAGAGCCATTATAGGTGACCCTCTAGATATGGATAAATAAGAATGGAAACTAGACTCGTGCAGTCCCACAGAGTACAGTGAAAGAGGTCAGGTTTTGGCAGATGATTATGTGGCCAACCATGTCAAAAACAACACATAAGTTGAGAGGAATTTGGGGGATAGTTAACAAAGGTCACAGTCAGATAAGATGCTATTTGTGATGCTGATAAAGGCTGTTTCAGTCCTGTGAAAGGATGGAAATTGATTGGAGCAATTCAAACTCTAGGAAAGAGGAGTACTGGTTTAGAAGACCATAGCACATTATAGGGCCTTTGAGAGCAAAGGTATGTTGGATACAGCAATATATTTCACAAGAACCTGAAGTTTTCTTTGAGAAGGGAGTTAATAACCATAGATTTCAAGGGGAAGGGAACAATGCTCAACAAGAGAGACATTTTCAGAATCAAAGAGTCATTCTTAAGCATAGCACATTCCCAAGTCCACAAGGACAGCAATATCAAGCTGAGCATTCAATGGTAAATTTCCTGAATCTTACAATGTGAAAAACTGCTCAACTCACATCCCACTGAACAGATAATAATCTAAAAGATTACTGCCATCTACAATGTAAAATGAAATAATGATTGCATAGCTCATTCCGTCTCCAATGACACCCTATCCTTACTGCCCTGCCCAACCCCTCCTCAGACTAGTCCATTCATATTTACCATTTCCAAGTAATTCCATTTCTCCAGCCAGACAATCTGAGTCAGACGAGCATCTAGATCCAGGAACTTTGTCATTCTAGGTAAGAATTTAATAGAGAAAAAAGTAGTTTTACTAAATAAAAACTTTTCTTTAACAGAAGAAGTTTATAAATTGGGAACGCAGTCATAACATGTCAACTAGTCACAATTTAACTACAATTCATGGAATAATACTTGAATGTATTAAGATTCTATAACATCCAATTACAAGAAAAGAAATACAAACAGTGGCTGTTTGAAAGAAAAACTGAAAGCACTGAAAAGTATAACAATGACAAAAGAGAAGACAGATTAATTTTACATCTGGGATCCTTCATTAAAACCAATGAAATGGAGAAATTACCATTCAAGGATTATGGACAAACATCTTCAGTGGCAGCATATACTCTCATGGGAGAGTGGTGGGGAATGAGGAGCTACTTGGGGGGTGCAGGTACATAGGGTACCTACATACAGCACATAGGGTAAAAGGGGCTGCAAGTGGACAGAAAGAGGATGCAAAGGCAAGTTGGGGCAATAGAAGGCTGCAAGTGCAAGTGGGAGTAGGGGGTACAGAAGAAGGCTGCAAAAGGTGAAAGAACACATTTATATTTGTTAATAAAGGAATATTCTGCTAAAAGAGAGCCAGGTAAACTTGTAATTACTGTGACAGTGAGTTCCTTGAGAATGAGTGTGCAATCTCTATCTTAAGGTTGCATATGCTCATGAGCTTGTGTATGGAAAAAATGCAAAGATTCTTCATAATTAACACTATGTCAACTGTTACATTTAAGTCTGGCATGGAGATTGAGAATATTGTGCTTAAAATAGCCTTTACACAAATATTATCTGACTTAGCTGGTCAAGGTATTCAGCTTATCTTGATTATTAATTTCTGAGTGTCTACTAAGTTGAGTTTTATAACCTAAAGGAACAGATAATCAGGATCACTAACAGGGTGAGTTCAGAAGAAATGTTTCATTCCAGCAGAAAGATGGTTTTGGTTTTGTTTTCAAAAAGCCCCCATGCTGTCAGAACTGGATGGAGACAAAGAATTAGTCTGTATTTTTGCAGAAATAGAAAGTCATATCTGGTGAATATATAGAAAGACACCAAAAGGAAATGTTGCCATCTCAACTATTAAGGAAAGTAAGAAATTAAGGGGTTAAGGCAGGAGTGATACTTCACTGGGGTTGAGTAAAGGATATTGATGAGGAAAGAGAAGGAGATTTCTTTTCATTTTGCTGTTTATGATAGAAATTTCCAAATTGACACACACAAACATCATATATAATTCTGTTTAATTTTATTCATTTGTATGTTATTATTTAAAAAGACAAACTGTCCATGAGGAAATGTAAACCTTCTCAAATGCCAGCTGATGAAAAATGATCTATAGTCCATCAGGTGGTAGTTGCATCTGAATATCATAGTATCATTTTACAAGAGGCTCCCAAAATTCTCATGGAAGATCATTTAGATATTAGGAAAATACAGAATAAGATATTGAAACATTTTCATTGGCCAGGATTACATACCAATGGGGTAAATATCGCCAGCCATGCCACTATTGTCAGGTAATGGGGAAACCTCAACCATGAATTAAATGTGTACCTTTGATTTTGTTACTAGCTTTCAAAGTGGACTCTTAATGCATTGTGTTGGACCCTTACCTAAGACCAGGAGTGGGAATCAGTATCTATTAGCAAGTACGGATGCTTTGACAAGATTTCCTGAGGTAGTGCATTTGTAGAAAATTACAGAAGTGACATTGAAGAAATCAGTCCTTTATTTTGCAAGATATGGATTACCCCCCAATCAGATCAAGATTCAAATTTTATGCCACAAATATTCAAATGAATGATGAATATTTAGATATAAAACAAAAAAACTTTTATTTAGTCAACTGACCATTCATTATCTCATGGAACATTAGAAAGATGGCATCAAACTTTGAGGACAATGAATTCAGTTCAGTGACAGGAATAGGGAGGTTTTAAACTGATTTGGCAGGGGGACGGGCCCAGAGCAGAAGTAAAGTCAGGAGCAAAGCCTAATCAGACGTAGAAGGAATGCCAGGACAGTCCAGTAGGTGGAAAAGATGTGGGCAGGATAAAGGACATGGAGGTCCAGAAAGCTAAATTGTATCTATTTTAATGCAAGGAGCTTGACTCGTTAGGTGGATGATCTTTATTTAACTCATGGGAATACGATATTGTTACAATTACTGAGACATAGTTGAAGGAAGAACAAGACTGGCTATTCAACATTTCAGGGTATAGAAGTTTCAGGCAGGATGAGTGGGGGAGCGCAAGTACAGGAGGTGGGGCTATAGCATTATTGATAAAGGAAACCATCACAGCAGTAATGAGGGAGGATGTCTTAGAAGTGTCTTAAATGAGCTTAGAAATAAAAAAAGGAGTGAGTACCTTGCTGGGATTATAGAAAACGGTTATAGTTGTAGCGGACTTCAACTATGCTCACATTAACTGAGATCACCTTAGTGTGAAAGAATCAGACTGGTGGAATTTTGAAAGTTCATCCAGGAGAGCTCTTTGTGCCAGTACGTAGATAGTCCAACTAAAGATGGGGCAGTGCTAGACCCAATCCTAGGGAATCAATCAGTTGAAGTTTCAGCAGACGAGCATTTTGGGAGTAGTGACTGTAACTGTAAGTTTCAAAGTCATTATGGAAAGGGATAAGGACAGTGTAGAAGTTAAGCGTCTAAACTGGAGGAAGGCTGATTTCAATATCATTCGACAGGATTTGGCAAATATGGACTTTAGTAAGGCCTTTGACAAGGTCCCACATGGAAGGCTGGTCCAGAAGGTAAGAACCCATGGGGTCCATGTTAGCAAATTGGATCCAAAACTGGCTTCCAAACAGGAGGCAGAGGGTGTTTTTGGAGGTTTGTTTTTTGATAGTGGAGGTCTGTGACCAGCAGTCTATCATCTCAGATAAGGAAGACTAACAGACCCCCTTGTACAGCCTCCTTCCCCACTCCCAAACAAAGGGATTTTGAGGCTTCTCAGTCTAATAAACCTTCAATCTTACCTCAGGACAGGTTTGCAGCCTCTGCAATGGTGTGGTTATAGTTCGCACAGTAATGCTGAAAATATCTCGACCCTAGAACAAAAAAAGGTGGGAAATACACAGTTCAAGATAGTTAGGAAGAACTAGGGTTCTACAACTGCAGTTTGGAAATCACAGGAATTCCATCAGGAGACATGGGATTCATTCAATACAGGTGAGGGATGAGTCCCTTTCCTCTGTTAAATGAAGGTTTTGTAAACTGAAGAGGTGTGATGAGCCATGTGGATGATATGTATTCGTTTACCATGAAGCTTCTAACTTATAAATGACATAAATCATGGCGAAAATATTCCTGTGAAATTTATAAGTGTAGGTGTTAGCCTTGGTTCTGTGATGGTGTGCTTCAGGTCTGGAGCACACAGTGCAGACTGGTAGTTCAATGCACTGCAGAAAGATTATTGCAGTAACAGAAATGGGTCAATTTTAATACTGTGCAAGTTGATGGGTTAAAATTGGGCTCTGACTGAGCATGTGACAATTGTCTGTGATCAAACTTACTTTGTTTAATCAATTATAAAGTTTTCATGTAACATCATAAAATAATGCAATCACTATCAATTTTTATCTTGACTTAAAAATCGCCGAATGACCATTATATATCCTCGTTCCAGCCTACTTAAAATTACTGGAAGTAATGACTATCCTGCACACATCACCTCTTTTTGAGAAGGCCAGCCAAATTAAACATCAATAATAGTGCAGCGGTAGGCCTTCACCAGAATCAAGAATCTCAGGGGGCAGAAGTTCCATTTGCTGAGTAAGAGCTGCTGGCTAATTACCAGCTCTTCACTGTAAGTAGTGCCACTCTGAGACTACACCATTCCAAGTCAAAGAATTGTCGATGGATGTGGGCGCATGTGAGTGATGCCATGAAGGGGGTCTCAGTAGCAAGGGCAGGAGGTGAAGCTCTCAGTCATTAACAGAGTTTGCTTTTCAGCTATCCCTTATAGCGAGCCTCTCACCCATCACTGAATGAATGCCAGTAATGGAAGCATGAAGATGGGAGCAGATGTAATCAGGGCAGGAATGGAAAGATAGTGTGGTTGCCACCCACCAACCTCCCATATGATAAAATGCCCCGTGCCCACCAAACCTGCCATGGGAGAAGGTATTAAATTTGGCCCAATGCTCTTGCCCCTGATCAATTACATAGCTAGAAGCTCCCACCCACTGTGGGCAGTTGCTTTCTATTTGGTCCTTATTTTCTCAATATTTGAGCGTCATATCAGTACAAAGCACCTGGCTGACACATGCAGAATAGACACTTGAAAACACCAAAGACATGGAAGTGCCCATAGGAATGTAAACCTGCAAGACTTGATTTTTTCAGTGGAAAGAATACCCTCCAGGCCTCACCTCTGGTGGATGAACATACTCTGCCACATCCCATATTTTCATTCCCATGGATGAATTTGACATTCCAATTCCTTTCATCTTGGTGATGACAGAACTCTCAGGAGCATTCTCTCTTTCTTGGTATGATTTCTGAATAATGAAAACATACCTGCACAAATCAGAAACACAAATTATTAATTCTCTTAGGTTAACCAAGCTCATAGCAATGTGTGGAGGCTATTTCGTCTTTCTCTCCTGATGGTAGCTTATAAGCTTCAGTTAAATTAATCTAATACTGGCTATTCTTGACACCTTCAAAAGTGGCTTTCATTTGTTCCTGTCTCACAGAATGAATTGTCCTGTTGCATCTTGCAATCAGTGGAGAATGTATTAGCATTAGAGTCTTGATAAAGCCAGTTTACTCTTGCCTTTCCTACCACATAGCTGTCATTCCACAGTGATAGAACTAGGTGCAATCACCACATGGGCCCTTTTGCATCAGTTTTGCTTTCCTTGACTTTAAATCTATTTCAGTTTAGACATAGTTAAGACCCAAAAACTTTATTTGGAACAAACTTGGTCAATGTCTTTGGATGCATATTCCACGCACAGTGCAGTCAATTTTGCATCCATAAAATTTTCAGTTAGCTATGACTGTTACTCTACATTAATTCAAACAACTCACATTGGAGTCAATACCATTGAAATTGTTTCCAGAACAGAAACTAGCACAAAGAGTCCTGCAACAGAACTCAGTGGAGAGGTAGGCTTGAAAACACAAAGATCCATTGAAATGAATAAATGCAATTAAATGTTTGAATTGTATCTTGTAGTGTTGCGAATTAGTATTTTCAACACCTGGGTGTGGCATCTGCCACCTCTTCTTGAAAGCTGAGCAGACATCCTACTGCAGGCATAGGAGACTTTATCCAACTTTCTACCTGTTGTGGTTGCGAGTATTGAGTGCCCATTCAAGACCTGCCAGGAAATTGATTCAGATGAATAACTAAGTGTACCAGAATTTCAAAAGCGAATTTTCAAGTAAGAACTGTACTGCTAGCAGTTTGAAGTATTCTCCAATATTTATAAAATATAGCAGACATGAAATTATATGAAGCAGTGTCTTGTTACAACCCAAAGGTGTCAATGGCAAGGCCGATGAGGAGCATGTTGAGGGGGAACTTTACCTGTCCCAAGGAAACAATGTGCTAGCTGTGGCAGATGACTGCAGTTCCTGCTGCAGGAGGCAACATCACTCCCTGGAGAAGCACAGCCACATTATGAACTGCTCCTTAGAGAGCTCTTTTTCCCTGAATTGAAATGTTTAAAACCAGGGGCATGCATTTAAGGTGAGAGGGGGAAAGTTCAAAGGAGATGTGAAGGGCAAGTGTGTTTTATTTTACAGAGAGAGTGGTAAGTATCTGGAACGTGCTGCCAGGGATGGAGGTGGAGGCAGATACAATAGGGGCATTTAAGGGGCTTTTAGATAAGCACATGAATATGCAAGAAATGGAGAGATAGGACCAAGGGCAGGCAGAAGGGATTAATTTAATTTGCACATCATCATGGGCTGAAGAAAAACCAAAAGAACTGTGGATTCTGTAAATCAGAAACAAAAACAGAAGTTGTTGGAAAAGCTCAGCCAATCTGGCAGCATCTGTGAAGAAAAAAATCAGAGTTAATGTTTCAGATCTGGTGACCTTCCTCAGAAATTGGACCCGAAACGTTAACTCTGATTTTTTTCATCACAAATGCTGCCAGACCTGCTGAGCTTTTCCAGCAACTTTTGCTTTTAATCATGGGCTGAAGGGCTCGTTCCAGTGCTGTACTCTTCTACATTCTTTGCTCTACGTTCTAAACTCTGCTGGGAGTTTGACAAAGCTTGCCTCCATCTATTTTCTCTCTGTACAGTTATATCTTTTTCCGCCATGTTTCTACTGTTTTCCTCCTCCTGCTAAACTGGAGATGTTTGCTACATTGCCATGAAGAAACATAAATGTTGTCAGATATCCTTTAAGAAATCAGAATTTTTCCACTGCTTCACTAAAAACTTTGAATTTGGTTTAAAAGAAAAAATAACTTTGCAATATAAAGCATCTCGGTAAACCATCTAATATGTTATATAATGAGCAACTACCACCCCTGCTAATGTCACTGGAAATGATCAGGGCCAATTGCTCCTTGTATTGTTACAAGACTAATTGATAAATCATCAATAAGCTGCCCCATTAATCAAAAACTGCTGCAACAGTTTGAGACCTCCCAAGCCATTTTAATAACTTTCAAAAGATTGATTTTAATGCACTACTTTGGTGTGATTGCACTGCAAAGATCAAAGTGCTTGTTATACCTCCATTAAACACACATTTTTGTTTTCTTTGCTGGTTTCACTACCATTTCCTTTATCTCTGCACCTTGAAACCTTTAATCAGTAACAAATATCTATACATAAATATCAATTATTTTTCTGTTCTTTAGTGAAGCTCCTCTGAACATTGTACCACATTCAAAGGTACTGTAAGTGTCTGAACAGGGGAATAGAGCAAAGATTTCTAGGGAAATATTTAGACCAATAGGTTGGGAAAATATGTAAAATCAAAAGGCAAACTGAACACTGGGAGTTGTTTTTTTTTTAAAGAGAATTAAAAAGCAGAGACATTACGCAAACTTGTATGGAATCTTGGTTAGACCACACACAGTACTATGTATAGCTCTGGTCTTGGTATTGTATAAAAAGGTACTGACATGCTGGAGATCGTGTAAAAACAGAAAAAAAAACGATATTAGTTCTAACTTCTCAATTTTATTAAGGGGCTTAACAGGTTGGGACTGTTTCCTTCTGTAGTGTGAAGACTGAGGATTGGCTCATAAGAGGTCTTTAAGACAATGAATAGGCTTGATAGGGTGATGGTACAAAAACATGCTTTCACCGTAGGGGAGATCAAAAGCCGGATATGGAGAAGTAATGGTGACACAGGACGGCTGGCCAGAACAGTCAGATACAGGTATCTTACATTGGGGATGCTTTCTGTTCATTATAAGAGGTTGGCAGAAGCTGAAAATATTCATAAATGTGTTACACCCACAATCCATTCCAACTCTTGGCTGGTCCTTAAGCTCCGCCACACCTTCATAGTCAGGTTGGAGGAAATCGTGATAGCGAAATGGGAAATAAAAACATTGCCGTCAAATCAAAATGAGCCATACCTCAACAAGCAATGCCCAAAAGAAATAGCTACTTGGTGTTAAATCGGACAAGCAGCAATTAGAGTCAGTCATACAGATCCTTCGGTCCAGCTGGTTCACGCTGACCAGACCTAGTCCCATTTGCCAGCATTTGGCCCATATCCCTCTAAACCCTTCCTATTCACATACTCATCCAGCTGCTTAGATTGTATTTGCAGAGATTTACTATTTTGACCAAGGTTATTCCGTCTTAGATGCGAAAAGACAAACTCTGCCTCATGTGATCCAGCAGCAGAACCTCTAGAACGGCGTTCTTCTCCAGATCGTTGGCAATATTTCACAAGGTAACTTCTGTTCACAGGACCCGACCCGATTAATTATAAACAGAACGAGACTTCCCTTTGATACTTCGAGGGAAAAAAAAATCTCATGAAACCCAAATATTTATCCTGAAACTGCATATGCTAGAGTAAACCCTGAAACTTTCTATTAATCCCGAAATTTACAGATCAAAGAGGCTCTCGGCTCCTGGAGTTGAAACGCCAGCGACCTCCTGATTAATGATTCTTAAAGACAATCCGGCTTGAGAAAAGATTCTTAATGCTAAAGAAATCAGAAATCAAAACAAAACAAAAATCCTGCAATTGGCGAAGATTTGAAATTACTCGGTAACAAGTTTAAAGCAGGCTCCAGTTTGAGAAAACACATTAAAAACAATAGTTAATCGTCTCCACACAATATCTCAATACTGATGATTCAAAAATCAAACTCATGGATGCAAAATAAACATTGTGTGCTCTCTTGGGATTAATGTATTCGCCCCAACCTTTATGATAACAGCCTCAAGTCTAGGATGTACTTACAGAGCAAAGTATAAAATGATAAGAAGTTGGATAATTCTGTAGATAATTCCTAAAGTTCGGTTTTTAACCACCACAACTTTGGGAGTTTCATAATCCCAGAATTCTGCCCAGTACAGGGCACACGATTCCCTATATCCCATGTTTGTATTGTAAATCCTTCGGAAAACTCGGCTTCTGCGCTCCGGAAAGACAGTCAGATGGAGCTGGGCTGATTCACCCCCGCTGTCCTGTCCTCTTGCTGTTCGGTTTTGATGGTTCTCTGCCTGATTTTAAACATCTTCCTCCCATCCCGCCCAGCCCCGCCAGTTGCAGAACAAACAGCGACACCTTCGGGTATCGGCCCATTTCCTAATGATCACAATAACCGAGGGTGAGTTTCCTTTTTCGGACAGGCTCCCGAACAATCATTACCATGAACTCGGATCCTTTTCCGAAGTAATTCCAGGATCTTCTGTTTGGTTTGTCCTATTTCATTCTTTGTTCTTCCATGTTAGTCAATTCCTACTTTCAGCTTGTCTTCGCTTCTTCCTCCAGTAATTTACCTTTAAGTGATTAGCTGAATCCATGTTAACCATTTCAAATAGCCCATGAAATGACCTATAAATTTCGTGGAATTGCATTTAATCGATTACATTGAATTTGCAAAGACACTGGATTTGTTATCCAAGTAACCCTGGTAATGTTCCAGGGACATGGATTTGAATCCAATCTCGGCAGAGCGAATTTAAAAAATCTGGAATTGAAAGCTTAATGATAATCATGACACATTTGTAGAAAAAATCCCACTGGTTCACTAATGTCTTTTAGAGAAGGAAATTGTTGTCCTTACCTGGTCTGGTGTATAGTTGACTCCAGACCCACAGCAATGTGGTTGTCTCTTAATTGCCCTCCTCTGAAATAGCCAAAGCCAGTCTGTTGGATCACTGCTAAAAGTCTCCAAAAAGGAATGAAACCAGATGGAAAACTTGGCATTGATAAAGGCAACAGAAATGACAATGACAAACACCCTACTGATCCTGCAAAGTCATCTTCTTAACACCTAGGGGCTAGTGCCAAGAGTGACAAATGTAATTGTTAATAATTGAGAAGATGCATTTTGGTTTTAATAAAAGACAATGATGAAGCACTGAGTGGAGGTAGATTCACCACTGTGGAAGAGCAGAGAAATTTGGAAGTTTAAGTTCAGAAGGCTGCATCTCCCATTGATAAGGGTCATTAAATAAATGGAATTCAAAATTTTAGCACAAAAGCTGCAGATGTAAATGCCAAGAATTAACAAAACCTCAAGACATCAGTTAAAATAATGTGTACAGTATTTTTGGGTGCAGACTTCTGGATGGAAGTTTATGTATTAGAAAAGGACCTACGCATCATTAATAAAAAAAAATCACATAAGCTAAAGGAATAGCAGTCCATCTTTTGATTGACATTCCACACTTTCTTGGCTCAATGGTGGTTCAACAATTTCAGGCTGCAATCCCTGCCCCCATTGTTTTCTTCTCCTTTGCTGATTTTGGCATTTAAGTCTCAATTTCCCATTTCTTTGTTTTCAGACAGCATCTGTTCATCGTTCTGGTATTCATGCGTCTTCTGAATGCATTTTTTGTTTCTGTACTTGTCCTAGTCCTTTTGGTCTTGTACCCTTAACTCCTTTATTATCTTCCAGATATCACAGATCTTCCTTTTTATTCTTATTGCCCCGTTTCACTTGCATAAAATCTATCACATTTCCCAGTCTGATGAAAGGTCACCAATCTCAAAGTTATGTCTGCTTCACTCTCTACTGATATTGCTTGACCTGCTGAGGATTTTCCACATTTTCTGTTTTTTTTCCACTAGGATGCTGCTTAGTATTATGAAGTTGGTGGTATTTTCTTTAAAACAATGCAGCTTAGGGCAGGATTAGATAGAATTGTTTACCATTATGAAAGGATGAGATAATCTACAGCTGTTTATTCTATCTCTAATAGTTGAAGGGTCTAGAATGAGTGTCCATAGATGTATAATTAAATGCAAGAGACTTAGATGGAGGACAGTGTCTTTATAGAGAGCTGAGGGGCTATGATATGCATTTCCAGGATTTGTGGTTAAGTCAGCAGCTATGTTAACTTTCAGGATTAGATTAGAAATGTGGATAAGCAGATTTGGGAATGTGATAGAGAATTGCAATTTAGACTATTTGATTAAAGTAAGAATAAGACTGACAAAGTAGGAACTGCAGATGCTGGAGAATGTGAGATAACAAGGTGTAGAGCTGGATGAACACAGCAGCATCAGAGGAGCAGGAAAGGTGTCGTTTTGGGCCTAGACCCCCTGCTGTGTTCATCCAGCTCTACACCTTATTATCATTAGACTGACAAATATTGGTTTCTATTTTCCAACTTAAATGTTGTATTTCAATCTTCATTTTACCCAGGCACAGCTGGGGAGGAAATAGTTCCTTATGTGAGGTTGCCAATAAATCCCAATCCCACTACTTATTGATAGATTACAGCATTATAATTGATTCATCCCCAATAATCGATCAAATCTAGCAACTGTTTACAGCTTGATTGTTCTAAAGATTGCTTTTCAATCAAGGCTGATTTAAAATTCTGAGGTCCACCACTGGTAAATTTACCAGGACGTGAGTTTAGTCTCTTGCTCAGTGATACCTACACCACAGGGTGGAGGGATTGGGAGAATCCAAACCTAGTGTGTGTGGGGTTCCACTCACTCATAGGTATCTTCTTTCCCTCCTTAGAAGTAGGGATTTGATCCAATGTAGGGTTGGAGTGGGATGATCCATTCCTGAGGCTTTCGGTTCAGTTTTGGTGTTGGGGTTCCTCTCGCTGATTGGACTCTTCTTTCCTTCTGCCCCAGCATAAGCCAAATTTGAAATCAACTCCTTGATATGCTTCCACTTTTTGGCCATTTAACTTTCAACCCATACCCATGTCCACTGACTCGTGCATGTTAAAGTATCACCCATAAATTCACAAAGCCCACAGTATAAATGTAGATTTTTTGTTTCATGCACAGGATGAGGGCGTCACTGGCTAGGCAGCATTTATTGCCCATCTCTAATTGCCCAAAGGGCAGATAAGAGTCAACCACATTGCTGTGGGTCTGGAGTCACATGTAGTCCAGACCAGGTAAGGATGGCAGTTTCATTCCCTAAAAGACATTAGTGAACCAGATGGATTTTTCCCAACAATTGACAATGGATTCTTGGTCATCATTAGACTCTTAATTCCAGATATTTATTGAATTCAAATTGCACCATCTGCCCTGGCGGGGTTTCAATCCAGGTCCCCAGAACATTATCTAGGTCTCTGGATTAACAGGCCATCGCCTCCCCGATTATACAATGTATAAATGTGTGGTGAACTAGCTGCCAGCAAATCTTCATTAAAATAGATCATGGAATATTGCAGTAAAGAAACAGGCCATTCTAACAATCATAGCTATGTCAATGTTTTACTCCACAGGAAGCAATCTGTCCAGTCCCATTCTCCTGATTGCTCCTCTTTCTCTTTTCAAAGTAATTTCCTTTAAAAAGTCTAAAGGAGCCACCTGTTTGGAACTCTACAGATAATAAAAGATCCCAAGTTCAATGCTCAGAACTGAATCAATCCCTTTATCACACTGTGCTTTCATGAGAAGAGGAAAAATGTTGGAAATAAATTAATAAGAACAGTAAAATCCAAAATTTAGAAAAATAGATTTCATTCCTACCACAATGCAAAATTTCTTCATGGTCGATGAAGCATCCACAAAATTGGGGCTTCCCAATTTGTCTCCAATTCTTGCCACACAATTCACTGCCCTTCTGAACCATTGTCAGTGCCAATAGGATCAACATTGTCACATACATTGCAAAACAGAGGTACACGCATAACAGAAGTTTTCTTATTCTTTTAGACCCAAATACACACTTGCCAGCAAAAGAGCCAGTTCTAGGAAATCACACAGATATGATCTCAGTTCCTTTTCACTCAGTAATACAAACATTTTCTGGGAAAATAAGCACTTAGCTTGGTAACAGTGGTAATTAAACTCAGCAACACTCCTTAATTGGATTCTTTCAAAAGCCTCTTTGCAAAACAAGTTTTTCCACCAAAACAAGTTTAACCCATCTGCTTCTGATTGACGCACTTGTGATGGAGGATGGAAGACCCCTGGCGCTGCTGGGTGTTTTGTAGAGGAGACATTGCCGATACGAATCATCTCAAGTACAGCCAGAAGCACACACACTGAACAAGACTTCATAAAGCTCGGTGATGAGGATCACTTCCAAATTATTATAGTGATGGCATGGAGCAGGGTCAAGGAGGCCAATGGTTTGAGTTTTGTTGTTCACAATGCCCATTTTTTTCATGATTCAACTCTTTTGTACTAATGTCCACAAATATCTAGGTGCAGAACCATGCTCTGACTTTACTTGAATCATAATATTCACATAATAAAAGTCACGCAATAATTTCATTAAAGAATTGATGAAAATGACATCAAAATATTTGATTTTTGATCACACAGCTCCCTCTAGTGATTAAATTAACACTCATTAAAGTCTTTGAACTTCAGCACAATTCATTGCATTCAGTAGTAGTCTACTGTTGATGACCTTTAGTTTGATTACCGTATCAAACATGGAGACTTGTTTGTGCTAACCATGGTAAAAATGCATTGTTTAATCAATATTATCAATAATTTTAAATACTGAACTCTTTAGGGACAACAAGATGTTATGTTTAATCAAAATTATTGAACTTTTCAAAGAGTAATGGTCTGGGTTTGAAGCTTCTGACAAGCTGGGAGCTGGGGAATTTGGTGGAGGCAATACCTCCTGCAACATGTAGGAAATCCTGAATTAAGTGCTGCCTGTCTGTCAGTAGCTTTTAAGTGAAACAAGTGTATACCCACATTATTTCCTGACCAACCAACTTGAAATGGTATGATGATGACCCCCATTAGTGGATTTAAATTCTAGTCTTTAAAGGGACACTCCACACATGGAATTTGATGGAGTTGACAGTCAAACACAACAAATTTCATGCCATTTTTTCAACACATCTTAAGATTGTGGCTGATAAATGAAAGATGAAGTTGTTATTCACCATTTAAGCTAAACTATTTATCATTTAAACTATTCATTATTTCTCTGAATTGTTGTGAGATAAAATTTGGACTTTGGTCAAATCGTATTTCTTTGAGTAATCCACATCCTGCAAAACATTGAACTAACTTTTCC